AAGAAGCAACAGTCACTTATATGAGTCAGGATGGGGCTGTTTGTTCGTTTTTGTGGCTTGGACAATGCTTGCATTTTTGTCAGTGTCCAGACGTGTATGGAGTGATCTTGTTTTTGTGTTGACCCATCTTGGACAGTCACAAAGTGGCCTTGGCTGATGTCGGTGCACTGGCAATGGAAATGCCAGGCCGGTTCCTAGAAACATCAAGGCCAAGCTGACAGTCACATGCCAGCTTCCGGATGTCCAGCTGCTTTTTCCTTTCTCGGCAGTGTCCAGAGGTTGAAGAACTGGTCCAAACTCATGCAGCCCAGGAGCTGAGGAGCCGTAATGTTAATACAGCGCTACCTGGTCTCTAAGCCTAGTGCTTAACAACGATTTGGCATCACTTTGCTTCGATGAAACATGTTTTCGTCTTCCTGGATTTCCCAGGGGAATCCAGCCTGCTTCCCGGCATGTCTGTGGAGAGAACTGGATTGAGTCTTGGGAACCACATTGTCCATCGACTTCAGTGAGAATCCAAGCCTCACGTGACCGAAGCTCATTCTATTTCAATGACAGTTTCTCGCCTTCTACATTCCACTCCTGTATTGGAATAAGATTTTTTAAAATTAAGTTTATTGGGGTGACATCAATTAATAAAATTATATAGGTTTCAATAGTATGTCATGTGTACATTGCATTGTGTGTTCACCACCCAAATTCAAATCTCCTTCTGTCACCATATAGTCGACCTTCTTTACCCTTATCTACCTCACCCCACCCCACCCCCCGGTAACAACTAGACTGCTGTCTGTGTCTATGTGTTTCTGATTGTTTGTCTTGTTCATTTATTGCTTTCAGTTTTATATCCTATATATGAGTGAAATCGTATGGCTCTCGTTTTTCTGTCTGACTTATTTTTCACTTAGCATGATTATCTCAAAATCCATTCATGTCACAAATGGCAATATTTCATCTTTTCTTGTGGCTCTGTATAAGTACCACATTTGTTTGCGTGTTTACATTTATGTTTAGAAGCACCTCTCCTCAGCTTTTTAGCTCCAGCCACCCATTTGATAGAAGTGCCTCAAGGTTAATAGAGCAAATGAACCCCTCTTTAAATAAAGTACTTTTAGTATGGTAGAAAATGCTGAGAAAAAATATCCCCCAAGGATATAGGGGTACAGACAGCCTAAGGCAGGCAAAACAGTGGACAGAAACAGGATAAGGAGTCAAAGCAAAGTGGGTTCAGAGCTGAGCTCTGCTATATATTAGCAAAGGTACTCTGGGCAAGATTAGTGAGCACGGCCTCGATGCTTTCATCTCTACAGTGGGAATTAGAACGCCTACCTCAAAACATGAACTGCTCCTGTTGTTCTGTTGTTGCTCCTCCTGAACCTATTGTTTATAACTTCATGATTTTTGTCTGTATTCCCTGCTGTGCTCTTTGCTCTAGTCCTTCTGAGGGCTGGAACCAGGCATGATTTGCTCTCAGATACAGCCTCAGAACCTGGCATGGTGCTTGGCTCGGAGAAGACAGATGTGAGTGTGGCTGTCGCTGTGGCTGTGGCTGTGGATGTGGATGTGGACGTGGATGTGGACATAGACATAGATCTGGAGACAAAGACTCAAATATTGGATGATTTCCCCTGGGCCTAGATCTGGTGTGAAAGATCCAACACTCCAGTCCACACTCTGGCCTCAGGGTCACTTTTGTTTGTTTCTTCCTGAGGATGGCCCCAGGCAAGGCCAGCCCTGAGGATGTGCACTAACTGCCTGTGTCCTGCAGACAAGGGAACATGTCAGGGAGACCCTGGTACCATGGGACAGCTACTTGCTTATGTGGAAACCAAGTCCCAGCTCCACCGCCCTCACTCCCACTCCAAAGAGCCCAGTTATAAAGCTAACCTGATACAAAAGTTGAGAAACCCTGACATGCTAAAGGCATCCTTGGAGACGATAATGTGGCAGCATTGATTCACTCTGGGAAAAGGCATGAAAGCCTGAAGGTCAGAAGTAGGGCTTAACATTCCTGAGATCCTCAGCAGAGACCCACATAGGCCTGGTCTTCTACCTGGAATGAGGTTAGCAATCAGTAGCAGCTACTCAAGATATTTTGGAAATCTCCAAGATTAGAAAACACAGAAGAATGGATAAATCTCTCTCCTGGCCACTGCCAAGGCCTGGGGGCTGAATGCCCTGCCCCTAACTCTCTCATCAGTCTCCATATTAAGGCAAGGGGTCTTGACCATGCACCCACCCCACATTGCCTGCGTCCTCATGACCTTCAACATAAATGTCAAACTGCTTATCCCAGCACATAGTCCCCTAGGAATCTGTCCCTTCAGTTTTATCCCCTGTCATCAGAAAAAAATATGTATATTTACCAATTCACACACACATCTGCATGCTCCTTTACCAAATCACACACATCCACATGTCCCTACTTACTTCCTTTCACTTTCTTAACCTCTAATTGTCCTTAATGTATTTGTCCATCTAATTCTAGGAATCTATAGTAAAGAAATACTTGCCAGGTGCACAAAGATATATGTACAAGGATGCTCATTGCTTTATTTTTTGCAACAGAGAAAAAATAAGGACAAGTTCGTCAGCAGGTTAAATACCTTTTGTCTGTCTATTCTGTGGTCACTATAGAGCTGGTAAAATGATGCTGGACAGGTGTAGATGAACATGGAAAGATCTCTATGACATGCTGTATTGGGGAGTCCTAGGGGACAAAGAGCAGCAGGTAGGTGACCTCTCCCTTAATCCTGAGTAGAGTCTTGAGTAGGAGACTGGAGGAAGAGATGGGAAGGGAGTTTAATATCAGTGGAACCCAGGTCCCTCAAGGACCAAGGTGCCCCCAAGGAAGCCCTTGCTGGGCGTTCAGATCATAAAGCATGTGTACTTATGCCGTTCGTTTGTGACTGAAACTTCACCTCTTCACTCTTTTGACTAAATCAGAAATCATCTGTAATTTTTACTCTGTCATCATTGGGACTGATAGGAGTTCGGTGTCACCCCAACGGTCAGGGGGAGGGAGAGGGATAATACTGCACATAAGTGTAGTTAGCATTTTTCCTTGGTTCTTCCTCAAATGACAGCAGTGAAGAATCACAAGTAGTTGAGATTTAATAGTTTTATTAAAAGTATATTTTAGAAAGACAAACTATGCCCCAAGGAGACACATGGAGAAAGACAAAGTATGCCCCAAAGAAGCACATGGTTCCAGCGCTGTAACCAACACAAAGGGCCAAAGTGACTACAAAAGGAGGAAAGACCACAAAAGGCCACCAAAAAGAGAGAGAACACAGAAGAGCAAAAAAGGGGATCCCAGAAGGGCAAAAAAGGACCCAGAAGTGGGAATGTCTGCTTTAAATTTGAGTCATGCTGGGTGATTCCAAAGGTATTCCTAGGTGACTGCCAAGTGAGGTCATTTTGATTGACACCTGATTGACACACTTTGCCTAGTGTGCATGTGCATACGCAGAATTCTACTACCACTGGGGTGTTCTTTGGGCGGTCTCTAGGCTGGGCCCCTATTCATTTATTTCCCCTGTTGCTCATGTCTGACTAGCTACCTTACACTATTGGATGAAAATTCTAATTTGTGTTTAAGAGTTTGCTCTCTATGAAACTGAGTATCCTAAAAGATTGCACCTAGTAAGCACTTGTAGTCAGTAACCTCTTAGGGCATTTTTGGGCACAAATCAACTTAACTACAGTAATTTATTAGTAGAATGGACAATGGAGCTAACCACCCAGACAGAGCAAAGGACAATGAAGAAGCATCCACAGAAATCAGAGGTCTGTTTGAAGAAGTTGTATATCTGGGGAGCAAGGTAAAACTTGGGAGTTGAAAGTAACCCTTGGAAAAATAATAGCAAACAGAAGAAACGCCCATATAGTAACCAACACTATTCTTAGTGCTTTACACAAATCGTTACCACAACTCAATGCAATAATTATTACTATTATTTTTATTTTCCAAAGGAGTGTAGAATTGGTGGTACATGTCGAGGCCATCTGGCTCTAGAGTCTTTGCTTCCGGTCACTATGGTACACTACCCATGAAATAAGATTTTAATGTTTTTCAATTTTTGATGAGGCTGTCCCTGGAAAACTTGTCAAATGTTCATCATTTCTGAGATATATAGCTGTACTTACAGTTAGAAACAAGAGAAACCATTAAGCAAAGTCTTTCATGTTATTCTATAACTGCAGCTAAAGCTATAAGCCCAGAATAAAGGGCTCAAAGTATCTCACATTCTATGCTCAGGGAGCCACCCCTAGCTGGATTAAACAACCACTGCCATTTGTGACAACATGGATGGACCTTGAGATAATCATGCTAAGTGAAATAAGCCAGACTGAAAAAGTCGAAAATTACATGACATCACTTATGTGTGGGATATAAAGCTAAAAGCAACAAATGAACAGGACAAACAAACAGAGACTCATGGACATGGACAATAGACTAGTGGTTACCAGAGGGGAGGGGGAAAAGGGGAGCAGAGAGGTAGACAGGATGAAAGGGGTCAAATATGTGGTGACAGAAAGAAATCTAACTATGAGAGGTGAACACACAGTGTAAATATATATATGCCTTACTGTTAAAATATACAGCTGAAACATCAGATTTCATTAACCAATGTCACCATAAAAAAATAATTAATTATGAAAAGTCGATTTTTATATTGCTGCATAATTTAAGAACTCATATCAAAAAAATAGTGTTAACGAAGCAAATCTGAAGAGCCGATATGGAAAGTATAGGTGCATTTGGGAAAATTATCTGTAGGAGTCCAAATGCAAAAGGAAAGCAAAAATTCTCCTTAAATATTTAAGCATTTTTATATTGTATCATTTCCGTATACCACATTGTGACTGTATCTGCATATTTCTGTATAACAAGTGCAAGAAAAAGATGTTACAACTTCATTCTTGTGCATTTTTTTCTCTGAAACTAACACCATCGGATGCACATGGTGTTGATGGTTTCAATTTTAATTTCACAGATGAAAGAACTCGGTGTCATCTTCTACAACTGCAGCTGCCTGGTCCTAGATTTACAAAGGATATTCGCTTTATATAGTTCATTAAAATTCAAGAGCAGAGTTCCTCAGACCTGGTCCAAGAGGCTCTATGGAGTCTATGACAATGAAAAGAAATTGCAACTTCAGTTGAACGAAACCAAATCTCAAGCATTCGTGTCGGTGAGTTGTTGCCCTGTCTCCTCTCCTCCTCCATTCTTTCTCCAAGGGCCCTTTATTAAGTTGGAATATTCAAGGGTGATCTTCTGTCAGGCAAAAATGAATTCGACAGATTGATTGGTTCTGTCCCATTCCTTGAAGAGTTCAAGTCTGTCCACGCTTATGCTCGATCATTTGCTGTTCCTAGTGATGACAATGATAAATGTTAATAATAGTTCCTAATTCCAGACACTTTGTGTTATCTGATTTGAGCCCCACAATCATCCCTTAAGGTGGACCCAGGATTATGACCGTGTTACAAATGAGGATACTGAAGCTTATCTACCAGCACAAAGACACTCAGATGGCAGGTGACAAGAAAACCACCATCACCCAGGTCTTCTGACACAGGTCCTATTTTTGATGCTCAATATCATTGATATTCAGATTTGCTTTTAGCTATTTCTATCTGATGAAACAAATCTAAGTGAACTCAGGAGTGTAAAACAGACAATAGCAAAGCTGTTGTACATGATTAAGGCTGGAGGACAAGAGGCCCACCCAGGAGGGGAGGACCCCTTGCATAGCTCACAGGCCTCTGACTACACTTAAAACCACTACCCACCTTCACTCACCCACCCCAATCTCCCCAACTGGCCACCCGCTGCCCACACACCACAGCTGTCCCCACAGTGTTACCAGCAATGGGCAGTGTATCTGGGCCGACAGCCCTGGTCCTCTAACTTTAGAGTACATAAGAACCAGCTGGAGAACCTTTTAAACTACAGATTTGCAGTCTCCCCACCCTCACCCAGGATCTGATCCACTGGGTGCAACCTTAGGAGCCTCGGTGAGACCTGAGGATTTTGACTTGCATCAAGCTTCTGAGTAGATCTGATGCTGAGTAGCTCTCTACACCATGCTCCCAATTTAACACGGCTATTTCTCCACTGATCGATACCAGTGCTTTCACGTCAACCTTTTCGTCATTGAAGAGCATTTCATTGAAGAGCGAATTGTATCCTTAAAATGAAGGCACAATCTGAAAATTTAGAAATGTAGCAATAGAGAGAAAAGAGGAAGTTGAAATTGTTTGTCTTAAATAACAAATTTACATAAATGTGAAGAGCAGAAAACAAACTATGAAAGATTTTCATCAAATGGAACTAAAAAACCTTTTTTGGTATGTGAACAGGTCCAGAGTGCAGTAGCAAGTAGCATATTGTATAGGGCATTTTACTAACAAAATTATTTCATATGTTTAATTTCACTTCTTCTCTAGACAACCATGTAAAATAAAAAGGCCAGAGATGTTTCTCAATTTGTAGATGAACAACAATGAAAATTTGCCAAATAACCCTTATTCCAGATGGCAGCAGGTGACATGACACCCTAAGGGACACTCGCTCAAGTGGGTCCAGTAGAACAGACAGGAAGGAGCAAGAAATAGATGGATTATGAGCCAATTTCAGATAATTGCTGAATTTCAAATTCATGGTTTGAATCTTAGAGATAAATAATGTGGTCGTTGCATAAATTTAAACTCAGATCCTTAAAGCAGGGAGGGTCCTACTTTGTTGATCCCAAAGTTAACATCTACCATGGAGGGCTCAGGCCTTTAACAAAATCTACTAAAGTACAGGCCTTTGTTGTATTCTAGGGCAAATTTACAAATTGCCTTTTATTAAACAATTCACCACAAAATAAGTCGAGTTGTGAAACTTTCCTTTTAATATAGTCTTTTAAACTATGTAATGCCTTTACTTTTTGTTTTTATTTATTTTGTTATTGTAACTTATTTTATTTTCTATTTCTTATTACTACTAAGCCAACTGATATTAATTGAACACCATTTCTGCAGAGGTATAAAATCTTACAGGTATAAAATAAAGTAAAAAGCAATCCACTTTTGGAATAGTATCAATTGCCCAGAGGTCCTTGATCTCACCTCTATTATAGTGTTTATCACATTTTTGTAACTGTCTAATGATCATTTCTCTCACTGTTTTACAAGGTTCTGAAGTACGTATGCCACACTCTAAATATCATTAGAATTTCCAGCACCTCATTCGGGGCTCCCTAAAAGCTGCAATGAATATCGGATTGGTTTTATTAGTAGTAATATCAATAAAAAGTTACAGAATGCATGCAGTTGTCTAAGTAATATGTGCCAAACACATGCCAAAACAAATTTATTTAAATTCAAAATACTTGTTATAAAATATCTTAAAACAGTATATTATATTTTTATAAGCTGGCAGCCCTGACTAAATTAACACAAAGAAAATGAATTCGAAGACTGTATGAATTACTATTTCCAAAATTAGATTTTAGAGGATTAAAAACTTAGCATGGTTAAATGTAAATTTTAAGTTGTAATATATATATGGATTATTTCTAATTTTTCACATAGAACACAAAGAGGTTAGATTTAACTTATGATCCCTAGTAACTCAGAGCCAGATAATTCTAATTTTCTTACATTTCTCACTGAAATCGGTAGATGGAAATGATAGTCGGCTGAGTTTTTGTCCTATCATGTAGATTTCTTTTTAGAGCCTTTAAGATTATGCATTCGCTTTTCAAGATGAAGACTAGTTAGTTCAAAGCCTGTTTTTATTAATCTAGGTGCTAGACAGATTTCATTTCTTGTTGTTTATTGTTCACTTCATTTACCCATCAGTCATGTATATTGAAACGTATTTAGTGAGTGAGGGCAGACATTAAACAGAGCTTGGTACTGCTATGAAAAATACAATATTACATTCCTATTACTTAGTATAGTGTTTTCAAAGTTAATTAATATTATAGCATGAATCAGTATTTCGTTCCTTTTTGTGGCCAAGTAATATTCCATTGTATGGATATGCTACATTTTGTTTATCCTGTCCATCAGTGGATAGATATTTGGGTATTTCTGCCTTTGGATATTGTGAACAGTGCTCCTATGAACATTCATGTGCCAGTTATTTGACAACTCGTTTTCAATTCATTTGAGTTTATACTTAGGAGTGGAATTGTTGAGTATTGTGCTAACTCTGTGTTCAACATTTTGAGACACTGACAAACTGTTTTCCGAATTGGCTGCACTATTTCACAATTCCACCAGCAGTAAATAAGGATTTTAATTTCTCTACATCTTTGCTAATGCTTGTTATTTTGTGTTGTATGTTAGCCTTCCTAGTGGGCATGAAATGGTACCTCATTGTGGTTTTGAATTGCATATTTTAATGTGTTTATTGGCCATTTGTATCTTTTTAGCGAAATGTCTGTCAAATCCTTTGTCCATTATTCTATTAAGTTACTTGGTTTTTATTACTGAGTTGTAAGAGTTTTTTTTATACACTCTAGATAAAAGTCCTTTATCAAGTATATGACTTGCAAATATTTTCTCCCATTCTGTGGATTGTTTTTTCATGTTTAATTAGATTTCAACATGTATTGTAATGATGGAGTATGGACTTTTAAAAAAAACAGGAAACTTATGAAATAAATCAGAGTCTGGTAATGCAAGTATTTAATGAATATGCAAAACAAGTTGCATGCATATATCCAAGGCACTTACTGATCTAAGAGAGAAACATATATTACCAAGAAGCAAGGTGTCTCAGAAGCACTTGATTAGAAAAAGATCATCACAGGGCTGAAACTAGGAAGCAGATCTGTATATTCCTCTCCTCCTTTTCTATAGATGAAGGAGGATGTTGTGCAGACATGCATTTCCTTAATAAACACAGGGAGCACCTGCCAGACTCCAGACGTTGAGTTAGACAATGGGAACACAGCAAACAATAATGCAGGCAAATAAAGATCTGTTCACACATGGGTGGAAATACCTAGAAAGAAGTAACTCTAATAAAAGTAGAGCTTGGGAGTCACAGAAACCTCCAACACTTTTTAACTTAAAGAAGCACTTTCGCATTCATTCCACAAATATTTATCGAGCATGTGGTATGTGCTGAGTGTGGCATGGTACAAGGAGCAAGAGATACACAACCACGCCACGCAGCTCACAAGCTAGTGGAGAAGCACACAACGAATAAATGCAACACAATGTAACACGTGCTACAATGAAGCCCCACAAAGCAGAAATCTTACTTTGATCACCGATGTATGCCAACGGCCTAGACCAACGCCGAGAGGGTGGCAAGCACTCAGTGGTATTTGCTGAGTGAATGAAAACAAGCACAGACAGGGCTCATTCTCTTATTTAAGCCTCAGGCAAACCAGTGTGAAAGGTGTGTTGACACCGAGGTTCAGAAAGTGGAAGGAACAAGCCCGCGTGCTGCAGGTTATAAATGCAGGAACCTGGCCAAAGCCACAGCATCTGCACTTGTAAGATAATGGCGAGTGTAAAGAGGCCAACAAGTCGGTGCCTCAGTGCCTTCAAGCCGGAAACAAAACTTTGGCATCTAGACCCATTTCAGAATTGGCTTCGACTCCCCTCTAGCGCCAAGATCCTCAACTTCTCTGCCTTAAAAGAGAAGAGCATTTGAAGCAGAATCAACAGGATAACGGAATTAAAGAACTTAAACATTTAATTTATTAATGGAAATTTTCAAAAAATGAGTAAAAGCAATCCCTAAAGTCAAGCTAGCAGCAGAAAGATGAGGCAAATACAAGTTTATGAGTTAGAATATGACACCTAATAGAAAAAAGAAGTTATATTATGGAAGAACAGAGAATGGAGAGGTAACCTTTGGGTGAGGATGTAAAAGTTTCATGGAAGAGATAGCGTTTGAGCAGGAACTTGGAAAACGCACAGGGCTCTAATAGACAAAAATAGAGAAACGCGTTAGCGGCAGGGGCTGGCGGAGTGACCCCGTCGAGGCAGACGGACGACAGATGGCCATAACCCGGTGATTATTTCAGTTTGGGGTACAGATGGCATGGTAGCCGGCAAACAGGGGAGGCCGAGATGCAGGGGAGGCCATAGGTTCATGCCAGCCAATGAGCTCAGACTGGCCACTGAGAGACCAGGAGTCCTAAAGGGGCTCGCACTTGGTTTTATAACATCACGGGGACAAGGAAATGAGCTACGGAGATACGCAGAAGCCCCAACAAACAGCATTGGCGCCCGAAAGAGGGACACAGCCACCTGGAGTATGAGGGAGGGACACCACGGGAGGTACTGCAGAGGCACCGGCCGGCTGGGTGGCAGATGTGTGGGCCGGGGGAAGTGTAGGACTAGCATTGGTTTTTGTTTGTTTATCTGTTTTGTTGTGATTTTGTTTTTGTTTTTTGCTTGTTTGTTTTTCATCATTTTTAAGACTTGCAAGTTCATTTTCATTACAAAAGAAAAATAAGATAAAAAACTCATTCTGATACTCACCTGCCAATGGGCAGAAATAATTAAATAACCTGAACATTTAATTTATTAATGGAGAGTAATTAATTAACTAATTAATAAATTGACGATGAGCACAGACACCTGTGAGTGTGTGACCTTCCACAAGCTCCTTCTCAGCCAGGCATCCAGTCAACAGCTTCAGCTTCCCTCCGTGTCACTGCGGTAGGGCTCCCGCCAGCACAGCGCGGGGCTCATTCCCGAATGTTCGATGAGGGGCCCTGACCTCCATTATTCGTGCAACATTTGATAAGGGACCCAACACTGGCTTTCCAGGCAGTTCCAGAGACCGTCTCTTCAGCCTTACGGTATTAAGCTCTCCTTTCGTTATTTCTGCTCCTCCGTGTGCTGTCTTGTTAGAGCAAGGCAGGAACTACAAAAACACTATTTTCAGTCCTTTCAGTGGAAAAACAATAAGAAAACCAAAGTACGCCTTTCCTTCTCTATAGCAACTTCGTCTAAAAACACCATACATTTTTTAAAGATGGAAACCATTTTGAATAACATGAGAAAAATATCGCAAGGATAATTTACCTCTTTTTTCTTTTGCTTGAGTCTTACAGAATATCTTTTTCTCCCTGTCTCTCCTAACAAATTTGAGCATCTTAATGACTATTGATTTTTCCTCTAGAATTATTGATGACCCTTTCTCAACAACCAACACTCGTCTTCACGACTTGATGAAAGATCAGAAAAAACGACCTTTTTAGGTTATCTTGAATATTTTTATAGTATAGGTAGATAGACAATGACAGATGATAGATGAAAGATAGATAAATTAACAGCCATGTAGAACAAGAATGTACATCACCATCACACAAGTTTAGAGTTAGAGCATTCCTCTGAAAGTCAGAGAAGTGTGCTTTGAAAGTAAGAACTCCCTCCCAAAATTGACTTAAAGGACAGACTTGAGACCAATCCCATCATACTTTGATCTCTACATGCCTCAACTTTTATAGGATTGAAAATATTTTGTCTTATAAAGAACTGGAAAGTAGTTTTGCAAAAATTTAGTTAAAAGCCAAGATCCATTAAAACAAATTAAAACAACAACAACAACAAAAAGAGAAATCCCCAGAAAACAAAAGTTAATACTCTTAAAGTTTGGTTTTTGTGTCTTCACAGAATTCTCCCAAACTCTTTTGTCCTAAGAACAGAAGCTTTGACATAGATGCCATCTACAGTGTGATAGATGATGCCAAGCAGTATGTGTACATCGCCGTCATGGAGTACCTGCCTATCTCCAGCACAAGCACCAGAAGGTCAGTGAGTGCATAACCTTGACTTAGAACCCATTCTCCAGGGTCTGGCACTAGACTGGGGCTAGAGGAGAAACCAGACTAGACACTGAGGTGCTATCAGGTCATGTTAGGTTGCACATCATTCAAATCATCTGGGTGTGCATTGGTAGCTTACCCATGATGCACCTCCAACCTCAGTCCTTTTAAGGGTTCAGGGTCTCACCCTACAGAAGTAGCTCAGTAGTTTACATTATAGACATGAGAACAACTTTAGAATAAAGGCTGGGTTGTTTTCAACTTGAAAATTATTTGAAAAAATAAATGATGCATCACTTTGTTGCATTGACATCAGTCTTCATTACATGCTAAATTTTCATAATATCTTTCCAACCTAAAGGAGAAAGAAACTTAAAATGTACATGTTCTCAGTCAATGTATGAGGAAGAGAACATCTTAAAAATAGAGAGCTCTTTCAATAATTCATCATCGTTAGGGAACTCATGTGCACTGTTGGTGGGATTGTAACTTGATGCAGCCAGTATGAAGAACAGTATGGAGGTTCCTCAAAAAACTAAAAATAGAACTACCATATAACCCAGCAATCTCACTTCTGGATATTTATCCAAAGAAACCCAAAACACTAATTCAAAAAGATATATGCACCCATGTGTTCACAGAAGAGCTGCTTACAATAGTCAAGATGTGGCAGCAACCTAAATGTTCCTTGATAAATGACTGGATAAAGAAGATGTGGCACGTACATAAAATGGAATATTACTCGGCCATAAAAGAGAATGAAATCTTACCATCGTGACAATGTGGATGGACCTAGGGGTATATGCTAAGTAAAATAGGTCAGACTAAGAGAAATACCATATGATTTCATTTATTCGTGGAATCTAAAAATCAAAATAAACAAACAAAATAGAAACAGACTCACAGATACAGGGAACAAACCGATAGTTGCCAGATGGGAGGGGAGTTGAGAGGCTGGGCAAAAAAGGTGAGGAAATTGAGACGTACAAATTGGTAGTTACAAAACAGTCATGGGGATGTAGGTGCAGCGCAGCGAACATAGTCAATTATATTGCAACAACTATGTACGGTGCCAGCCAAGTACTACACTTACAGGGCTGATCACTTCGCAAGTTATATAAAAGTCTAACCACTACACTGTAAACCTGAAACTACTATAATATTGAATGTCAACTGTAATTGAAAATGAAACAAAATAATTATTTTTAAATAAAAATAATTCATCATTATTTAAGTGTGAAAATACGAGGAATAAAGTTAGGCACAGAATGAATATCCCTAGATCGTTGCAAGTGTAAATGCATGGTTAGACCCCAGTTGTTTCCCACCTTTGCTTTGTGGCTGGAAATGTAGAGATTTGGGTGCTTTTAAATGTTTTGAATAACACATTTTATCCAGGAAAAGTTTTCAAAGTGCACATTTCCAGGAGTACAATCTGAGACCTTTTTAATTTGGAAAATTACAGTTTTGAAATAACCATTTACTAAGGTGAAATGATTCAGTGTGCCCTATATTGTTTGACTATTTTTCATATTGCCAACCTCACACATGCATAATATGAAACTTCTTATGCAAATGGCTATAGGATTGTAAAAAGCACATTTCACCAGAAAGTGATTACTCCTAGTGACAGTTGAAAAGCATTTTAAGATGCACATTATTGAAACAGTTTTACTTTAAATTTTTGTACATCTCCTGAATATTCATGGATTATTTTCACATATTTTTACGTCTTCTTTATCCCTCCTTTTTATGTCCTCCCATTTATTATTTGTTTTTAGATTTAGTTTTAGACTTCAGCTTCACTGTGGGAAGACTTTGAAACATAACACATAGGTTTTGACTGATTTTCTTATTATTCAGAAGGAGAATATTGTCAAGGTTATGTGCGTGCGGAATGATGGATTTACAAAATCTTCATTCTATGAAATCTCACAAACAATATTGAGATCCCTTATGGCTAAGGATGAAGGATTAGTATGTGTGATTATAAAATATTTTCAAAATATAAAAATTAGAAAAAAAACTAAAAGAATGTTAAAGAACTGGAAACTCACCTGAAATTTTTCATTTTTGTTATTAATCTACAATTTCAGCTATTATTCAAAGAATAGGGATTTTTATCATATTAATGATATTTCAAACCTGTCAGTGCCTTTAGCAGTCTTAATGAAAAGTCATCAGAGACACAAGAAGTAGTTCAGAAGTCTAGGTTATAATTAAATTCTCCTCAATTCTATGGATGAAAAAAAAATTTCAAAGTCAGACTAGTTACTTGTCTTTAAATCATCCTGGAGAAATTTTTCAGGAATTCAGTTCTAAAGATACATATAGGCTCAAAGTGAAAGGAAGAAAGATGATATTCCAAGCAAATGGAAATGAAAAAGAAGGCAGACATTGACTTATGTATCCGACAGAACAGACTTCAGGCCAAAAAAGGTGACAAGAGACAAACAAGGTCATTATCTAAGAATAAAGGGGTCAAACATCAAGAAGATATAACAATTATAAATATATACATTACCAGCACTCAAGCACTAAAATATATTAAGTAATTAATAACAAATCTTAAGGTAAAAATAGGTAACAATACATTAATTGTAAGAGACTTCAATCAGCAATGGATACATGACAGAATCATAAAAGATGACAATGAACAATTACATGCCAACGAATTTTATAACCTAGAAAAAATAGATACATTTCTAGAACACATAGCCTGCCAAAACTGAATCAAGAAGATATAGGAAATCTAAACAGACTGATAAAGAATAAATGGATTGAATTAGTAATCAAAAACCATCCAGGAGGTAGACGGAGGGAAAAAAATTTTTAATCATTTATTCAATTAAACAAACAAACAAACAAACCTCAACACAGAAAACTCCAGGATCAAATGGCTCACTGGAGAATTTTACCAAACAATTAAAGAAGAATTAACACTAGTCCTCCTCAAACTCTTCCAAAATATTGAGGAGGAGGGAAAACTTCTAAACTCTTTCTATGAGCCAAGCATTACTTTGACACCAAGGCCTAATAAAGATACCACAAGACAAGAAAACCCTAAACCCATGTCCCTAATGAATAGATGCAAAAATTCTCAACAAAATATTAGCAAACCAAAATCAAGAGCACATTGAAAGGACTATATACCATGACCAAGTGGGATTTACCCTGACATATAAGGATGGTTCAGTGTACACAAATCAATAAATGTAATACATCACATCTAAAATGAAAGATAAAAATCACACGATCATATCTAGAAGAAGAAAAAGCTGTTGACAAAACACAACATTCTTTCATGATAAAAACCCTTAACAGACTGAGTATAGAGGCAATATACTTCAGCATAATGCAGACCATATATGACAAACCCAGTTCTAACATTGTACCCAATGGAGAGAAATTGAAAGTATTTTCCCTAAGATCAGAAATGAGGCAAGGATGCCCACTGTCGCCTTTCCTATCCAATATAGTATTGGAAGTCCTAGTTAGAGTAATTAGTCCACACAGAGAAGTAAAAAGCATCCAAACAGGAAAGATAGAAGTAAAATTGGTATTTGCTGATGTTATAATCCTATATATATGAAATCTCAAAGAATCAGTCAAAAAACTGATAGAATTAATCATTGATTTCAGTAAAGTGGCAGAATACAAAGATCAACATACAGAAATCAATTGCATTTCATTACACTAAATATGAAGCATCTGAAAAGGAATAAAAGAAAACCATCTCATTCACGATAGCATCAAAAACAATAAAATCCTTAAGAGTAAACTTAGCCAACAAAGTAAAACATCTATGCAATGAAAACTACAAAACTTTGCTGCAAGAAATCGAAGACACAACAAATGGAAAGACATCCCATATTCATGGATCAGAAGAATTAGTATCATTAAAATGTCCAAACTACCCAAAGCCATCTGCAGATTAAACCCAATCCCCAGCAACATACTAAAGGCATTCTTTATAAAAATAGGAGAAATAACCTTAAAATGTGTGTGGAACCACAAAAGACCTCAAATAGCCAAAGCAATCCTAAGAAAAAAGAACAAAGCCAAAGGTATCATGCTTCCAGATTTCAAACTATACTACAAAACCATAGTAATAAAAGTGGTATAGTACTAGCACAAAAATAGACACATTAACCAGTGGAACAGATTAGAGAGCTCAGATTTAAACTACAGCATAGATGGTCAACCAATATTTGACAAGGGAGCCAACAATACCCAATGAGGAAAGGATAGTCTCTTCAACAAAAGCTGCTGGGGAAACCGGAGAAACAATGCAGAGCAATGACATCAGACCCCTTCTGTACACCCCCCTCGCAAAAATTAACTCAAAATGGATCTAAGACTTAAATATAAGACATGATCCCATAAAACTCCTAGAAGAAAACATGGGGAAGAAACTCATCGATATTGGTTTTGGCACTAATTTTTTTGCACGTGGTCCCAAAAGCACAAACAACAAAAGAAAAAAATCAACCAATTGGACTGCATCAAATTCAAAAGTTTCTGCACCGCCAAAGAAATAATTAACAAAATGAAAACCTACAGAGTGGGAGGAAATTTTTGCAAACCAAATATCAGATACAGGGTTAATATCAAAAATATAAAAAGAACTCAGTCAACTTAATAACTAAAAAACAATCTGACTTAAAAATGGGCAGAAGAACTAAATAGACATTTATCCAAAGAGGACATCGAAATGGCCAACAGACACATAAAAAGTGCTCAGCATCACTAATCATTAGGGAAATGCAAATCAAAATCACAATGAGATATCACCTCATACCTGAAAAGCAACCTAAAAGATAAGAACAGGTGCTGGTGAGCATGCTGTGAAAAGAGAACCCTTATAGTTTGTTGGTAGAAATGTAATATGGTCCAACCACTATGGAAAACATCATGGAGGTTCCTCAAAAATTTAAAAAAAAAAAAAAAAATCTATCATACAATCTAGCAGTTCCTCTTCTGGGTATATACCCAAAGGAAAAAAACAAAACAAAACAAAACAGGATTTTGATGAGATATATGCATTCCTCATGTTTATCTCAGTATTACTCACAATAGCCAAGATATGGGAACAACCCAAATGACCATCAACAGATGAATGGATAAAAAGATGTATACATATCCACAATAGAAGAGGAAAATATCTTCTCACTTGCAACAACATGGATGGATTTTGAGCACATTATGCTAAGCAAGACACCTCAGACAAAGACAAGTACTGTATGATATCACTTCTATGTGGAATCTTAAAAAGTAAAACTAAGAAACAGAGTGAAATGGTGGTTACCAGGGGATGGTGGGGTAGGGTTGGGGGCATAAGAGTGATGTTGTTTAAAGGCACAAACTTGCAACAAGTAATAAATAAGCAATAGGGAGCTAATTTACAGTATAATGAATATAGACAATATTATGGTGATAAATATTGCTACACTGGCAATCATATTACAACATATAAATGTATCAAAGCGATAGGCTGTACATCTTAAACTTACACAATGTTATAAGTCAAATTTCTTCAGTGAAAAATGTAAGCCGGTTTGTCTGTAGGATATTCATATTTTTCATTTATGTATTGACTCAACAAATATTTATTGGGCATTGTGCAAAAGTGATTAAGTATGAACAGAGTATAGTCCAGGAGCTATGTCTAATAGGGGCAAATAGACACAAAATAGATTATCATAACATAATATGTAGGAGTGCATGGAAAAATATATATATACATATGTATATAGAATATTATAGACACTCAGGGAAAGGGCATCTATGGCAGTTTCAGAATGAAAACAAGCTTGTCTGAGGAAATTCTGCCTGAATTACATTTGAAAATATGCAAGAATTAGAAAAGAGGGTGAGAAAGGGAATTTTCCAGTTAGAAGGGACCGCATGAGCAAAGTTTCCGAAGGAAAACTTTGTAACAAGTTCAGCGCTGGAATGTAGTGCCCATGGTAAGGTGGTAAGAGATCAAACTGGAGAGAAGGCAAGGACCAGGAAGAGGAGGGCCTGACTGCTGGGCAGTCTTGTCACTTCCGGGAGCTTTCAGTGTGTTTTAATCAGAGGACAAGATATGCTTTTAGATGGATCACTTGGTGGTGGCAGAGGATGTACCTGACGGGGACAAGAACACAGGCAGCGAAGCCAGCTTGGAGCTGTTGCAGTGGCCCGCTTCTGGGACAGGAGGGCCTGACAAGGACAGCCACAGGAAGGACAGAAGTACATTCCAGGAAAGTTTCTGAAGTGCACGGCGATTGGTTAAAAAGAAGAGTAGACACAAGAGTAAATGGTCCCGGTTTTTACTTCAGTGATTAGATGATGAGGTCTGTACAAAGTAGGGAAGGCTATCAAAACTAGGGAAATAAGCATATTTGTGGATTTGAGGTTTTTGTCAAGATCCAGATCTTTCGATCTGTAAAGATCTTATGAAGATATCCAGATTGGAGTCTGAAGAGCATTAGCCTGGTGATGTGATTTTGGAGCTCTTCAGACTATAGGGCAGGGGTCCCCATCCCCCAGGTACCAGTCCATGGCCTGTTAGAAACTGGGCTGCACAGCAAGAGGTGAGCGGTGGGCGGGCAAGCGAACCTTCATCTGTATTTGCAACTGCTTCCCAGAGCTGGCATCACCACCTCAGCTCCACCTCAGATCATCAGGCATGAGATTCTCATAGGAGCACCAGTCCCTGGTGGCAAAACGGTTAGGGACCACTGCTGTACGGGATAGTTAAAACCTGGTATGTAGATGAAGGTGCCTAGGAGGTGACATGCAAAGCCTGAAGAACAGAGGAAAATGGTAGAATCCTAAGAGAACATCAATATTTACAGAAGAAACCCTAGAACAGATAAAGGGTCTGAGAGACATGGGCAGATCAGCAAACCATTGAGTCATAAATTTTCCAGAAGAAAGGAGCCATCAACTGAGCCACACATCGCCTAGTCCAGCAGTCAAATAAGGATTGAATGACGTCCATTAGATTTGGCAGTGGGGATAGCACTGCTGAGTTTGAGAAGATTTGCAGAATAATGGTGGGCTGAGGCCAGGGGCTGAGGAGTGGATATGGGGGTAGGAGAAGGGGGGATGATGAAGTAAACTCAGAGGTTCTAGATTCTACTATCAAGAAGTTTTGTCAAAAAGAAGAGATTGCATATCAGCCACAGAGCAATGCAGAGTGAAACAGAGATTTACTCGCCCCCTCCCCCCGCCCCTTCAAAGGAAGCTGGAGAGAGAGAAGTTGAAGACATTTTCGGGGAGGAATGAATAATTGAATGCAGTTGCAGAGGGCCAAGGGTACAGCCTGGGGAGAAGGGCAGGTCCAGGTCCCACCGTGAGTAGGATGCCTTATCCCCTGAGCCGGAGGGAAAGGGGACAAAGATGCATGTGGCTATAGAGTCGAAAACTGAGGAAGACTATGACCAAAACCCTCAATTTTGTGAGTGAAGGAAGAACATTTCTGCAGAGAGGATAAAATTTAGCATAATTACAGAAAGATACAGGAGGTGGAACTGACCCAGTCCAAGGCCAGGGACTGGCACGTGGTGTCAGGCACCCAGAACGTGTCTGCATTTGCTCCAGTGTGCACGAGGCCGAGAGGACTTTTCCAACAGCCCCCGGCTTTGTGCCTGTAGAAATAGACAAAGGCATCGATCCAATAGCATCGATCCAGGATTTGGATTTTGCCAAAAGCTAGAGGAATGGAGAGGGTGAGGGAAGGGAGACCAGGAGGAGCTGATGGACCAGGAAAAAGTGGGGGCTCGTGGCTCTGGGCCACCTGGTGACAGCAAGCTTAGTGCAAGTAAGAGAGGGGAAGAACCTGAAGGATGGGGGCCGGCGCCAGA